AGAAACTATTGTGGCTGATCTGGGTGTATGCAACACGTGTATACACTTGTGAGAAAGCTTTTAGCTAATTTGAAGTCTTTCATTGTAGACTGTCATGCCTTTATGTGGACACTGGACTTTTCATTTGCATCTGATGGCATCCTGGTGGCCACATCTTGCCACAGGGAACCAAGACAAGACTTGTCGAGTGTGGGATGTGAGGAATTTATCAAAGTCTGTAGCTGTGCTCAAGGGGAATCTGGGAGCTATTAGATCAATTCGTTTCTCGTCTGATGGGCAGTTCATGGCGACAGCAGAGCCAGCCGACTTCGTGCAGTCTATGATGCAAAGAATGGGTTTGAGAAAGAGCAGGGATCGTTTTTTGGTGAGATCTCTGGTGTTCTTTTAGCCCTGACACAGAATCCCTCTTCATTGGAGTGTGGATCGCACCTATGGTAGCCTCTTTCAGTACAACCGATGCAGGAATTATACATATCTTGAACCCTTATGTGAATTTATACCTGATACCTTCTGGGAGTTTATACTGCAGTTTATATACATTTTTCATGGAATGTGAGAGGATGATGAGTCTGAAATTTCATATACTTGAAAAAGGTTACGTATTCTTGTTTCTTTGTTAATGTCATGTTATTGAACTTGGTTTCAAATAGCTGCCACACATTTAGGTTAACAAAAAAAAAAAAAGAAAAATGATTAGGGTTGTATGTGGTGGGAAGGAGGGTTTGAGCAGTTAAAAAGGTGTGTAAAATAATGGAGAATGTAAAAAGGCTTTGAAGTGTATCTATGTAGCAAAACTCAAGTTAACCGTGCATAATACCACGAGTAAAACTAGATTTGCAAATTTTTGCTTCTTGTTAGTTGTTACCATGCGTATATTGGAGTTTTTCATGTATTTTGTTCTGGTTCTGTGTTACCATGTAGATCAAATTAATCTCAACAGGATTGTAGAATACGAGTTAATGCTTTTTCCATTTGATTTCGAAGTGGGAAGGCAGATTTGCCTTAAATATAGTGCTGAAGAGGCACATTGGTATCGAGTCTTTTGCCTATTTAGTTTGCGATACTGGAGAATCATGAATCATTAAAAACTTAAATGCACTAACATGGTAATGAATTAAGAAATGAAATGCTTAATCAAGCGAGGTGTTAATTTGATTTGGTGTGGAGCCAAATCCATGCACTGTTCTTTTGTGTGGAATTGAATTTCCTCTTCCTTTGCTTGTCCTTGCCGAAACTATCTTAATTTGTTTGAGAATTGTTTCCTCTTCCTCTTCAAGCTGTTCCATGCATTCATCAAAGGCGGCCACCAATTCTGGATCAAAGATAGTGCCCTGAATGCATTTGTTTTCTGGTTCCGATATTGAAAGCATAGCTACCAAATTTTGGAGTAACACAGACTCCTGGAGAATAAACTTGTCCTCCAACATGTACCCATTCCCTAAGGCTTGCAACTCTGGAAATTCAAGGGTGGTTTGGATTTCTAGCGACTCTAGCCCATTTGCAATCACCTTCTCTTTGTCCCCTTAAAGATGCTTGTTTCAGCATTTTCAACATGTGGTTCTCTTTTGTCCCAGCCACGTGGTTTCTGTTCCTGAGCTAAATAGGACACCTTTTCTTCTACTTGAGCTTCATCCTCTGATGTGATTGCTTAAAATGGTGAAGTTGCCAAGAACTCTCTTCCATGCTACTAAACCTGATTTGCTCTGCATCTGCCATTGCCCTGGATGAGCGGAGTTTTTCAACCAGTCGGTCATATTCCTCTACTGTATGGAAGCAGTACTCTAGACAGTGTAATACCCTTATTGTTCCATCGTATCTTACTGTAACAGAGAGAACATCTCGTGCTCATCTTCAGACCAATGACAACTCTTGGACTGTCTTGCTAGAACAGCAGCACCAGTGGATTCTTTAGCTTCAGGAAGCAATGAAGCTGCATGTTCCACTTGTTCTCCTCTTCTTTGTCAGCATTAGTTGTCAATTTCCCTTTTTTGGTGGATTCATATCTTATGAGTCAAAAACATCTGGTTTGTGGGATGTTTGGTTCTGAAGAGAAACAGTCAAATAGGAGTTGATTGGGTGGTAGACTGGCAGGGGAAACTAGAGCATGGAAGTGATCACCGTCGCCGCCACTACTAGAGATGCCATTTGCTGTTCTGAAAACTCTGGTTCAGCTCTTCCTCAAACTCAGTGATCTTGTCACCAATTTTGAAGATAGACATCCCATTTTTAAGAGCTGCAAACCGAAAGAAGAATAAGCAACAAATGATTCAATTATAGACTCACGTATCTCCATCTCAAAAACAAGTCTTAAACCACTTCCATTTTATAAACATGCACTGATATATTACGTCATGTATACATAAAGACTGGGACCTTGTAAAAAGTGTAAAATACGCTAACCTCTGAATCCTTGGGCTTTCGAAGTCTACAAATTTTAAAAAATGGGAAACAACCATCTTTGTTATGAGTGTGCCCATGGGAAGACTCTAAAAAGGCGTCGGTTTCAGGTTTTTTGCTTGATTTTAATGGTGACTAGTATGGTTTTTCTTATGAGGGGTTCAATGGGTAGTGAATATTTGGTGATTAGGCAGAAGAGGAGGGTGTTTTAATCTCAGAGCTATGTCGGCTTCATATCCCGTACGGTTGCTGAAAGTAAAGTGCAACAACAGGACAAGAAGAAGCTATGTTGTATGTCCATGGAGGTGTGCCAGCTCGCTCTTTAAATTAAGGCCATAAAGAGAAAATTAAGCTCATATATCTATAGTGGTGACCGATACAAACAAACTATTCACTTTTTCTTAGCATTGTCCCATACTTTATCAGGAGTCAAATTCAACTCAACATAAACCTTTGGCCTAACCCTAGATTGATAAACTATTTTTCAATTCGCACACGGAAATAGGGTTATTAATAATTTCTCATTATATTTATTTTTATTGAAATCAGAAAAGAAAATAGAAATAGGGAAATTATTGATTTTAGAGTGTTAGGTGACAGATCCGTAGTAGGGGTGTTCAGTTCCGGGTACTTTGCACTTTTTGAAGAACCGGAATCGAAACCGAAACCGACGGTTCCTTGAAATTTGGAACCAGAACCAGAACAGACGATCCAGTTCCTAGGTACCAGAACTAGAACCTGTAAACGGTTCGGTTGGTTCTGGGTACCTTATAAAATTCATGACCCCTCAAAAGTTTTTAAAATGGCAAAAAAACCTTTAAAATCTTACAAATACCCCCCACCTGGCATTGTTAACAAAAAAAAATTGTAAATTATAAACTCAAAATACAAACTCCATTACTTTGTAAAGGTAGATTCAAAGTCAAACCAACTTACTTTAAATGTTATGAAATAAAATAAATTATCACATTATTTTTCTACAAAAGTTTTTATTAACCCCCCTAATATTTAATTTTATTTTTATTAGTCTCGGTTCCTGGTTCTGGTTATGGTTCCTAACTATAAGAAACGAAATCGAAAACCGTACAGTAACGGTTCCAAAAATTTGGAATCGGAATCTACCCATTGACGATTAGTTCTGGGTAGGAACTGGAACTAAACCCACGGTATCCGTCGGTTCTGGTTCCAACCGGTTCTTTTGAAACACCCTAATCTGTAGGGGTTAAGTGTAATTTCCGAAAGTAGAGAGGTTTTTAAATATCAATATAAGCTGAGGGGGTCTTGAACTTTCCTAAAATGACAAAAAGAGCTGCTTCCTTATAAGTTAGGATAAAGATGTTTTGGTATTTGACCACAAGGTATGGCAAGATGGTCAATTACGTAAAAATATCCAAATATTTGGTCAGTCTAATTATTAGAGAGAGAAAAACTGATGATACAATAAAAGTAGTATTAATATTTTTTATTACATTATTATTATTATTCTTATGATAATAAACTACTTTGACCTTGTATTCTTATTATAATAAACTGATCACCTAGGCATGCGTGGGGAGAGATTCACTAAACTTATGTCTCCATCGGAGAATATAATGTTTGAATGCACATTCCAAATGTCAATTAAAGTTAATATCAAATTATCATTACAATTAATTTTTAATTAATTCAACCTTTTTATTGTACTCTTATCAGAAAGCATATCACAATTAGTTTTTTTTTTTTTTCTTCCATAATGATATAATTTTGCATGTAAATAAGCCTCATGCACAAATATAAACCACGATTCCTTAATTTGGAAATTAAATTTTTCTTAAAACAAAAATCTTTTGATAATTTGATGTAAGAATGAATTGACTCATACGTAACTGCTCCCACAACAAACACATTGAGAAACATTGAGCGAGAATTTATTGCATAAGAACAAGTACAATTAATATAGCAAACTCCATAGCACCCTCTGTCAAAACCCTAACTAAATGATACACTGTGGTGCAAGATGTAGACAACATTAAAACGAAAAAAAGCCCTACAATCAAATAAAAGGGAAACTCTATTAATACTAAGAAATGCAACAAAGCTCAGGCCCCGTAAAATTACGGATAGGTCTCATCTGAAGGTGACGTCCATTGGCATCCATGTTCATGTAGAAAAGAACTCCATCTCCAACTTGAAGCTGCTTCCTCTTGACAAAATCTTTCCACTGGCTGCCAAAACAGGCTGTCTCCCATTATCTTGCACGTAAAAACGAAGGGTATGGCAAGATGGTCAATTACGTAAAAATATCCAATACAAGGTAATTTCTGTGGTAAGCTGAAAGATACCACCATTCCTTTAATTTGTTAAATTAAATTATTGGCTCAAGCACGTAACTGTTCCATTGGTGACTTGAGAAATTTATCGGGACAAACCAATCAGGCCCATAGAGGGTCCAACCGTCCAAATGTTTGATTTTATGTACACGTAGTCTTCTTTTTTATGAATTTGATCAATCGTTAACAAAGATTCATATACAGCAGCACAGGCATCATGACACAGCAGATGCATATTCACAATACAAAATAACAATTGGCAGAGAAAAAGCTAATCTTTTCTAATATCTTAAGTGTCTTAAGATTCTGCCTCAGTCCTCAACATAGAATTTTTCATTTGCATCCCCCAAGAAGTATCCACAAGCAAAATCAGCCTACTCTACCATCAAAGATTCTCACTTATAGGAGAACTGGAATCCACTTCTTGGATGGCAGAATCAAAATTGAAATTACGCCTGTGGAGATGCTAAAATGACAAGTCCAAGACCAGTATCTAAAACATGAACCAAAATTCTATCTAAAATGGAGATTGAATTTTCAAAACACATAGTTCTAATTGGTAACAAATGTGAACACATGGACCAGCACAAGATGGAACGTCTTTTAGAAAAATCAGTGAACTAATTGATGTTGAATATACTAAAATTCACAATAATATTCTGCGTAAATAGTAACAACTCGATTAATTGATTGCTTATAAAAAGATAAAGGGTCTAACCTCTTCCCATGATTTTCCAGAGGCTTCAAGCAAAGCAGCGTTGCATGTCTTAAGTTCTATCAAGGCACCTGCAAACATTGATGCTGCCTCCTCCCATCCTCTATTATGTCCCATACACCTGTCAAATTATCATTATTAGTTGTATATTTTTAATGCATTAATTTTCTTTCTATGATAATCTAGCAAAGGTATGCACCCTTATCTTTCTCTTTTTTTGGGTAATTTACCCTTATCTTGCAACATCCCATAGAAATATAAAATTCTACAGTGTCTTGCACGGAAATTATAGACAGCCAGCAATCCAAACCATACAATATAACCACCACCAAAATCGATGAAGAAAGTTTGAACGCACACCATTGGTAGATCTTAACATATAATTTTTAGCTCAGTCATTAGAAATGGTCTGTTGAAGAAAGAAAATATTTTGAATGCTGTATGATACACAAAATAATAGTTCCACTTCTCTGGGGTTTCCTTCAGACCAAAGAAAATAAATACAATAACAAAAAGCTAGATGTGATAAAGTCTAGCAAAACTTACATGACGGTAACTATTTCATCTGTTGAGTATTTACATATAGCTTGTTGAAGATGTTCAGCAGTTTGTCCATCCATTGCTGCAACAGAATAAAAGCTGGAAATAAAATGAACTTCAGCTTCCAAAAAGCCTTTCACATGTTCCTGCATTATCTTAAGAGTCTCCCTGGTTCGCACTGCATCACTGCAGCATCACCCAGTTAAAAAAATCTTCAAAATCTATGACATGCAAATAATGCACCGAGATTGTATAGAATTGAGCCCCACAAACTCATTCTTAAATCAATACTAATAATAAACCTGGATAAAATAAGTTGAGGGATCCAGCCCAATTGTTGAAGCTTCTGTGAAACTTTGATAGCATCATCCCGCCCAGCTTTACTCAAAGGGCGATCATGATCTACCCAAAAAGAAAAAGTAATTACAATAAAATATAACGAGAATTTCATAAACAATCCCTGACGCTTAGTCAAATATACAGAAAAAAAAAAATTAATTTTTTTATCACAAACCACCCTTATGAAATAAAATTTCTGAAAGTAACGCCAAGCATGCGGATAAAATTCTGGATAACAGTTCCTTCGTTTTTTTTTCTTTAATACAAGTAATGAAATTGTTGAGCGAGGTGGAGCCTATATCACATTTCTAATTAAAGAGTTATGGCATTTTGAATTATTTAAATTTAAAAGTAAAACATGCAAACGTTTGAGATGTGGATGCAAGTAATGAAGCAAGTGAGTCAAAACGAAATTGGTTAAACGAATACCTCGAAGTGAGGGGTTTTCCCAGGAACTCTTAGCGTGCCGAAGAAGAATGAGGCGACGAACGAGTGACTGGGATTCAACAGTGTCTGCGACTTCAGTCTCTATTGACAAAGATCGAGTTCGCAAACGGAAACTCCGATTCATTCTGAGAGAGGGTTTTTTCTCGTTAATGGGAGGCGCTGACCAATTATACATCAAAGGATTTGATATTTTGGAGGTTGTGGCCATAGCCATAGCGATAGCCATAGCCATATTGCTCAACTCTTGTTTCAGTTTTAGCTGCTGTTTCAGCTTCACTTGGTTTGGTTAAAAAATAATTTAGTAACCACCTTCATGTTTTGAGAATTTCAATTATACCCGATTATTTGGAAAATCAACAAAAACCTCCCTTAAAAGTAAAAACTGCCGGAGCTTCGATGTAACGATGATCTATAAACTTCAACATATTTTATGCTACTACACATATCCTATATTCAAATGTCGATGATACACGTAATTATAATTACCACTTTGTCCTCTTTTAATTAACAATATCAGGTAGATGATTATGAAGTCATAGAGAACAAGTTATAAAATATTTTATATATTAAAACATTCATTACCGAAGAAATTAGTATTTTTGATGATAGAGATTACGTATCGGCTCGTAACAATTATCTTGATAGATGATTATATACAAAGATATTTGCTCATATTTTGACGAGATAGATAGAATTGGCGACAACATACACACACGACACCGATGAGGGCAACAACATACAAAAATAAAATGATGTTCTTACCCTTGGTATTTTTCCTCTTAAACCTTGAGAGGGTATAAGTGTAGTTTTGCAAAACCTTCTAGGAGAAATTATGAATAAATAAAAACCAGAAATTACTAATGGGCCAGATGAAGCCCACATGGATGATATGACAGGCCTAGCCCATATAGAAAACGTCAGGCTGCGTCTCCAGTTCCACACTCCTCCCACGAACAATCGGGGTTATAAACGTAAAACTGAAACTTTCGATTCGACTCTCGGATGATGATGATGATGATGATGATGATCTCTGGTAGGGATAATATCCAAAACAAACATTAACGTCAAAGCAGCAGCAGCAGCAGCAGCACCAAGCTCTATCGATTTGAGGTGGATCAAAAGATCTAATCTCCCATTCACCAGCTGCTCTATCTTTCGCTCCTCCATTCTTCAGACCAGGTCAATATTTCTCTTTTTGTTTCCTTCCTCCATTCTTTCGCTCTGTCTCACTTTAATTTAACGAAACGACACCGTTTAGGAGAATCAAGTTTGTTTCTGTTGGAATTAAGGCGGAATTGTCGTCGTTAATATTTGTACGGAGATTTTAACGTTTGTTGGTTGTGTTCCAAGTCTTCATTGGTTGTGGACATTGCATTATAAGCCGCTGTTTTCTTATTATTTATTTTTAACTTTGTTGTGGGTGAAATTATTATTATTATTTTTTTTTTCCTATTTGTAATATTATGATTTTTTGTTGGCTCAGGTGTGAAGCTACTTGCAGAACATGTCCCAGTACCAAGGGGATGATGACGAGATCTATTATGTGGCGGATGATTATGAAATGGCTGAAGTAGATGATGATATGTATTTCCAGGCTAGATTTATGGGTGATTCGGAGTCTGATGATGATGATTATGATCATTTGGTTTGTGAACTTCATACCTGTAAAAAATTTAGGCTTTATGGTCTTTGCATTGATTCAGAATACTTCCCTCCTAGGTTTAGTTATTTAGGTCGTTGCTCTGGCCTTTCATGTAAAGGAGTTTACTGATTTTGGAAGTTTCACTAAAAAAGTTCTCTTTTACCACTTTTATTTTTATTTTTTTGCTTTCTTATCAGGTGTCTTGTTTTTGCAGGATAATAAGATAACAGATACGACTGCTGCTGATGCTAGGAGGGGAAAGGATATCCAGGGAATTCCCTGGGAGAGGTTGAGCATTTCTCGTGAGAAGTATAGGCAAACTAGACTAGAGCAGTACAAGAATTATGAAAACATACCTCAATCAGGAGAAGGTTCAGAGAAGGTAACATGTATTTTCCCTTAGTTTCTTATTAAAAAATGAACCCTAAGGTCAAATTACATTCTTTTGACAACCTTTAGTTTTATTTTTCTACTTTTCTTCAGGAATGCAAGCCTACAAAAAAAGGAGGCATTTATTATGAGTTCTGGCGAAACACAAGATCTGTGAAATCAACAATCCTTCATTTCCAAGTATGCTGATATCTTTTTTGCTTCATATGAATTTGGATTATCTCTCTATCTGTAGGATCCACTAAATATTCACACCTTGAACCCCTTTTCGATACAATAATTGAAGTCACAATGTTGGGACAACAACTGATCTTTGAGTAGAATTTAGGCTCTTGTAGCCAATTTTTGCAAATATTTCACCTTTAGGGGAAAATTCATTCATTTTTGGCTTTGCAGTTGCGGAATTTGGTTTGGGCAACATCAAAGCATGATGTCTACCTCATGTCACATTTCTCTATTGTTCATTGGTCTTCCTTAAATTGCAAGAGAACTGAAGTTCTTGATGTGTCAGGGCATGTGGCGCCACGCGAGGTGAGTCTTTCTCATAATATTTCATGATATTACTTATATGGTTATTGTGCTGTTGGAATTTATTTTTGACTGAAGTTTGTTTTATATGATAGAAACATCCTGGGAGCTTGTTGGAAGGATTTACACAGACTCAAGTTAGTACACTTTCAGTAAGAGATAATTTGTTGATTGCTGGAGGATTTCAAGGAGAGCTTATTTGTAAGGTACTTTGATATTTTTGGGTACTTTCTTGACAAATATTCTTTGCTGTGGTTGTCATCATCACTAGTAAAAAATACCTGAAGCAAAAATGGAAGCAAACCGACACTAGTTTCACTTATTTCTCTTCATGGATGAACATCTCCATTTAGTTTTACATTTTAGTTTGGTCTAGTTCATTCACTTATACTTATTTTCCTTTCATTCGTCTTACATGACATTTCATCATCTTGTTTGTTCATTGTATGTTAATTTTGTCCTATCATTTTTGTTTAGCTTGCTTTTCCTTTTTTTTGCAAAAAATAAATGCATGAAAAAAAAAAAAAAAAAACCTGCTATTGAGCAGAAGGCCTGTAGAAATATTAAAGTCTTGAATTTGAAAAAAGTAATTTCATTTAGCTAAGTCCTGCAGTCATTATTTTTGGGCTTGTACTTGCTACTCTGGTTATGGTTTGGTCTATTCTGATTTTGAATATGATGTATGATAAATTGTTTTCCCCATTGGGATGCAGTACTTAGATCGACCAGGAGTTTGCTTTTGTTCCAGGACAACATATGACGATAATGCAATCACAAACGCTGTTGAGATTTATGATTGTCCCAGGTTATCTATTATTGTTGTTTTCCTTTTATTAATTGGTTGGACTTAGGAGTAAGGTCAGATTCGTAAGTGGGATAATGGATTCTGACTTAAAATCATTCATCTGCCAGTGGTGCAGTTCATTTCATGGCATCAAATAATGACTGTGGAGTTAGGGACTTTGATATGGAGAGATTTCAACTTTCAAAGCATTTCTGCTTTACTTGGCCTGTGAATGTAAGTATTCCTGTTGGAATTTTGCAGCTTCCAGTAGATATTTTTTACTTGGGTGATACTGCATAATTTTTTTTTTTTTTTTTAATTGTATGTGTACTATACATATCCATCTGTTTTTATGTTTAAAGAGTGAGAGACATATGTTCGTGCAGACCTGTTAATCTTGTGTAAGTTTTCTTTAGCTATCTGGAACTTAATCACATAGGTCTGGCTTTTACCTGTTAGGTTTGTGTTTAATGGCTCAGCAAGGAGCATCCAGAGGCTTTCAATTGACTATTTTCGTACATAAACAGATTTCTGATGTTACCTGAACTTGTATCAAAAAAGATGTTGCCTACATGACAAGTAGTAAACAATAAGCAACGTAGATTCACCTACCTAACTTTTCACACATGTGCTTATCCTGTTGAATTGATAAACCATAACTGCACTTTCATGTAGTGATATGTTAGTTGTTCTTGATGAATGTAACTGATATATTCATTTAATGATTTCTGTTGACAGCACACTTCTTTGAGTCCTGATGGCAAGCTTCTTGTCATTGTTGGTGACAACCCAGATGGGTTACTGGTGGATTCTCAAACAGGAAAGGTAGTACTTCTTATTTTCTGTTTGGCAGAAACTATTGTGGCTGCATCTCGGGTGTATGCAACCACGTGTATACACTTGTGAGAAAGCTTTTAGCTAATTTGAAGTCTTTCATTGTAGACTGTCATGCCTTTATGTGGACACTTGGACTTTTCATTTGCATCTGCATGGCATCCTGGTGGCCACATCTTTGCCACAGGGAACCAAGACAAGACTTGTCGAGTGTGGGATGTGAGGAATTTATCAAAGTCTGTGGCTGTGCTCAAGGGGAATCTGGGAGCTATTAGATCAATTCGTTTCTCGTCTGATGGGCAGTTCATGGCGACAGCAGAGCCAGCCGACTTCGTGCATGTCTATGATGCAAAGAACGGGTTTGAGAAAGAGCAGGAGATCGATTTTTTTGGTGAGATCTCTGGTGTCTCTTTTAGCCCTGACACAGAATCCCTCTTCATTGGAGTGTGGGATCGCACCTATGGAAGCCTCTTTCAGTACAACCGATGCAGGAATTATACATATCTTGACACCCTTATGTGAATTTATACTTGTATACCTTCTGGTGAGTTTATACCTGCAGTTTATATACATTTTTCATGGAATGTGAGAGGATGATGAGTCTGACATTTCATATACTTGAAAAAGGTTACGTATTTCTTGTTTCTTTGTTGTAACGTCATGTTATTGAACTTGGTTTCAAATAATGCTGCCACATTTAGGTTAACAAAAAAGAAAAAAAATAACAGGGTTGTAGTGGGTGGGAAGGAGGGTTTGAGCAGTTCAAAAAGGTGTGTAAAATAATGGAGAATGTAAAAAGGCTTTGAAGTGTATCTGTGTAGCAAAACTCAAGTTAACCGTGCATAATACCACGAGTAAAACTAGATTTGCAAATTTATTTTGCTTCTTGTTAGTTGTTACTATGCGAATATTGGAGTTTTTCATGTATTTTGTTCTGGTTCTGTGTTACCATGTAGATCAAATTAATCTCAACAGGATTGTAGAATAAGAGTTAATGCTTTTTCCATTCGATTTTGAAGTGGGAAGGCAGATTTGCCTTAAATATAGTGCTGAAGAGGCACTTTGGTATCCAGTTTTTTGCCGCCTTTAGTTTGCGATACTGGAGAATCATGAATCATTAAAACTTAAATGCATAAACATGGTAATGAATTTAATAAATGAAATGCTTAATCAAGCGAGGTGTTAATTTGCATTTTGGTGTGGAGCCAAATCCATGCACTGTTCTTTTGTGTGGAATTGAATTTCCTCTTCCTCTTGCTTGTCCTTGCCGAAACTATCTTCAATTTGTTTGAGAATTGTTTCCTCTTCCTCTTCAAGCTGTTCCATGCATTCATCAAAGGCAGCCACTAATTCTGGATCAAAGATAGTGCCCTCAATGCATTTGTTTTCTGGTTCCGATATTGGTAAAGCATAGCTACCAAATTTTGGAGTAACGTAAGCTCCTGGAGAATAAACTTGTCCTCCAACATGTACCCATTCCCTAAGGCTTGCAACTCTTGGAAATTCAAGGGTGGTTGGGATTGCTAGCGACTCTAGCCCATTTGCAATCACCTTTCTCTTTGACCCCTTAAACATGCTTGTTTCAGCCTTTTCAACATGTGGTTCCTCTTTTGTCCCAGCCACTGTGGTTTCTGTTCCTGAGCTAAATAGGACACCCTTTTCTTCTACTTGAGCTTCATCCTCTGATTGTGATTGCTTAAAATGGTGAAGTTGCAAAGAACTCTCTTCCTTGCTACTAAACCTGATTTGCTTTGCATCTGCCATTGCCCTGGATGAGCGGAGTTTTTCAACCAATGCGTCATATTCCTCTACTGTATGGAAGCTCCTACTCCTAGCACGTGTAATACCCTTATTGTTTCCATCGTATCTTGCTGTAACAAGAGAGAACATCTCATGCTCATCTTCAGACTAATGACAACTCTTGGAGCGTCGAGCTAGATCAGCAGCACCAGTGGATTCTTTAGCTTTAGGAAGCAATGAAGGTGCATGTTCCACTTGTTCTTCCTCTTCTTTGTCAGCATTAGTTGTCAATTCCCATTTTCTGGTGGATTCGTATCTTATGAGCTCAAAAACATCCGGTTTGTGGGATGTATTTGGTTCTGAAGAGAAACTGTCAGATAGGAGTTGATTGGGTGGTAGACTGGCAGGGCAAACTAGAGCATGGAAGTGATCACCGTCGCCGCCACTACCAGAGATGCCATTTGCTGTCCTCTGAAAACTCTGGTTCAACTCTTCCCTCAAACTCAGTGATCTTGTCACCAATTTTGAAGATAGACATCCCATTTTTAAGAGCTCCAAACCTGGAAGAATAAGCAACAAATGATTCAATTATAAACTCACGTATCTCCATCTACAAAAACAAGTCTTAAACCACTTCCATTTTCTAAACATGGACTGGATATATTACATCATGTAGTATATATACATAAAGACTGAGACATTGTTGATAAAAAGTGTAAAATACGCTAACCGCTGAATCCCTTGGGCTTTCGAAATCTATAACTTTTTAAAAAGGGGAAACCATGGTCTTTGGTTATGCAAGTGCCCATGAGAAGACTTGTACTCTAAAGTCTAAACCTTCTAGGAGTCTACCATAAGTCTGATCATCCGACTAAGCCATTGTATTTACACAAATCTTTTCTTTTTAGTTTGTGAAACATGAATCACTAGTAAAATTATTGTCTTCTGTCAATGAAAATACAGCTCTTTGCCCAATGTTATTAGAAGTAGTGTCCACCTACAGCCCGGGTTTCGTGGTAAAGGGTATAACCTAACCCCGGGTTTAACGGAAAAGGAAAGAGCAAACCATTTGAACCAAGAAAAACAAGACAAAAAAACGATATTGCCCCTTAGCCCTAGAAACTAATTAAGATGGTGAACAATAAATTGGTTTGCGAACTGCATACAATGGTGAATAGGGGGATGATGTTAAGAAGAAACTGTTAGGATGAAGCCAAACGCTATTCTAAGAGCCTGAAAGTAAAAGAAGAGCCGTTTCATACCTGTTGAAATGCTAAATATGATTATATATGAATCAGTCAGAACTCAACCGTCTGAAGGCTGAAGCTGGATGGATAATTCTTCTCGTTGTTGCCGATACAACCCCAGTTGAGACAAGCTCGCTGCTGCTCAAACTAGGCCAGAGTTGTCAATCCTTAACAAGATTATTCGGCGTTGAATATTTGGAGGAGAAATGAAAACGAAAAACCAGTGTTTTTAGTCTATTACTGGGCCGCGGTTGGACCAGTGTAGTAGCACCCACCGGTCCAACGTCCATTTTAAAAAATCCGGGTCAACGTTTATAATATAAAATAATAAATTAATAATAAAAAAACTTAAACAGTAAACCCCATATCATTTCCTTTCCTCATTTCCCCCCATTTTCACGCGTTCCCACCCTTTGCTTTGAAAGTCTGAATTCTGAAAATTACCGCCGGAGTCTTCCCTTCACAGTCGAAACTTGTCTCTGCAGCCTTCATCGTCAAAGGTTTGCTTCGTCGTCAGTGGGGTGCGCTCATTTCACGATCTTCTCTGGCGTCCACTCTTCATCACCGCTGATCTACGCCGTAATCCAATCTCTCATTCTTGATTCTTCTCGGAGCTACACAGTGCACAGTCGATCTGGATCTTGGAGCTGCACGCACTCTTCTTCACATTGCTTGAATCTGACTCAGCTCTTATAGTTGCCCTGTTCACAGCCGATCTCCACCTCCCGACGGGCAACGAACGGCAGCTCATCTTAAGCAGGTAACTGTCACGGTGTAGGCATGTCTTTGTTTCAGCCTTCAGGTCCTGTGCATGATCAGGGCATTAGGCCTGAACCGAAATGGGAAGCCTTCGTAGTTTGTGGCTTCATTAACTACCAGTTCCTGGAGTGCTTCCTAAGGTGTGAGGGTTGAAATGTTAGGATCTGGTTGCAGAAGAGGTCTGGGAATGTTGATTTCTGCTGCCTTAGAACGATACCGTTCTCTCATTTTGTAACCTTCTGTACATATTGTCTCTAGTAAGGGATCAACCAACTGACTCTAGGAATATCAGCTTAAAACATTTACTAGTTGATGAATTTGTTGTGCATTTACCGGAGTTTTATTAACTAATCAAGTCATCAATTTAATCAAATATTGATTTGAATTTCATTGATTTTATCTCTTTTATGAATCTTCTAGGCTAGTGAAAGACTTAGGCGGTGCTTGGAAATAATTGGAGCCAGTTCATAGTCATAGTTTGGGTTTAAAGAAATATGTGGCATCATCAGTCTTTTTCAGATTACTTGATATTATGCATTTACATTTCGTTGCGACATTTTGGCTGCTTGCTTTTGCGTTACCTGCTCTAATATGCTGTGATAGTTGAGCATAATGTGGTGTATGTAAATAAGAACTTGAGTAGGCTCATGGTTTCAGCCTTAAATAAGTGAAATGCATTTTACTTTGTTTCCCACTGCTTGCAATGGAGCTAATTATCTGTCATTTATATTTTATAAAAAGAGTTATCATTCTCTGGCCTGTTTGTGCATGATCAAGATTAGACAGAGCTTATATCTATTGAATTTACAAAAGTGGAAAAAATTATTCTGTGAACATATTTGATGAGTCATCAAATTACTGTTATCTATTGAACCAATGGTTCAATTGGTTAAACCGATCGACCTAAAATCTGCATTTTTTGTCGAGTTTTATCTCAAGTCGGTTTTTAAAACATTGGTTTGAAGTTTTCTCTTTTGCAAAAATAGTTTAGAGAGAAACTTTACACGTAGAACCAGCTCAAAAATGTCTTATAAACCTACTAGTTTACCGGTCAACGATTTTTTTTGTTGTTGTTTGAAATTCCATGTGGGCATAGAAAATGAGTTTTAGTTTTGTCTCTCTCCAATGATTAGACAGTTGTGAGTGGTGTTTGAGATTCATTCTCCTACACATTCATTGTAGAAGAGACAGCAACTTATAAAGTGTTTATCACCGTAGGATCTTAGCAACTTATAAAGTGTATATCACCGTAGGATCTTACATACAGTATGAGAAGGCCGCAACCTTCGAATGATCCGTGTTTCAATATCTTCCCCCGTCCATTATTATAATTTCTAAAATGCATATTTATTTTTTTATTTTAGAAATGCTATTATATTTTATTCAATTATTTTAAATCTCTTAAATTGATTAACTAAACAATTCGTAAAAAAATTAAAAATAGACAAAAAACTCCTCACTATCCACATTTGCTAAATTTCGACCACCCCATTGGAAGGTGGTCGAAATCTATCACAATGGCGTACTACCAGTCGAACGGATATACATCGATCTGATCGAAAAAGGTCAATCTGGCATTCGTTGACCATCAACAATAGCATATACTTAGCCATCGCTAATGGCCATATCTGGCCGAAAAAAGCCAAATTGGTGCGCTACCAGCCAGATTCCGCCAGAATGTGCCGTGACACTAGATTCGATGGTGGGGGTCAGAATCTAGCAACTGTAGGTGAGTAAGAATGTTTTGTCTTTACAAATTTTTATATATTGGGTTTTAATAAATTAGTAAACCAATTATTTTTTAATTTTAAATTCTACCCATAATACACCAACTCTACTTACACTAATATTTCAAAAATACTAAAACAAACACAATATTTTTATGAAATTTCTTGCATCAATTACATTTACACGCCATTAGATTTAACTTTGGGTGGTTGTGATTACTTGGTGATCTTAAAAGTTTTTAATTTATGTATTTCAAATTTAATTTTTAAAATATAATAATCTAAGTACATTAATTCCTTATTTAATTATGAATTTTAGGTGTATTAATTACACGTCTGAATGAATTGAAGCGAGTAAAGTGATGTCCCTACACTCAACCTGGTAAGTGTGACGCCCCTCAAGCAGACAGAAACATAAATTAAAAGGGACGACAGGAATTTAAAAGAAGAAAAACTCTTTTTACTTTTGAAATTTATGTAGAAACTAGAAAAGCAAAGAAGCTGGCAACAAGTCCTTTTAGGTCCAAATTCGTTTAATAATTTCACGTTGATCCTATGTTGGTTTGTTGTGAAACTTACCTTGTTCTTAGAATATTTTTTTTAAGGTTCAAATTTGTTTATAAGGACAGGAGAATGAAAAGGCAATTTTTTTATTTTTTGAGTAATATTTTTGAAAAAGTTGGTGGGTATTATTAGGATAGGATTTGAATTTGAAAAGTGTTTGGTAAGATTATTTTTTAGTCTCATATTTATTGATTTAGTTAAACACCCCTATAATAAAAGTTTTAAATTAATAAAAATACCCTCACGGCCTCACCACCCATTAAATGTTCTCAGCGATGGTCGGTTACCAAGAATATGTGGGTGGGTGGGGTGTTTATCAATTATAACTTATCATTGAGGTGTTTAGTTAAATTAAAAAATCTAAAGGGTTAAAAAAATTAAATATTTTGAATTAAATAGAACAGGATTGGATTTTGAGAATAGTAAAAAATATTATTTTGAATAGATATAATGGAATAATAAAAGAAACACACCAATTAGTGATCATCACTTTTTATCACCACCATCATCATTGCAAATTCATACATTTTAAGAAGCGTTCACATTTATCTATGTACTTTCTGGTTTCTGGTCATACATTTTAAGACCCGTACATTATATTATATACTTTCTGGTTTCTAGTTTTTGGTTTCTCTACAAGAATTAATGTCACTAGTATTTATAAACAGTAAGACCCGATGTGATGATCAAACCATTGATTCAAATAGCTATTTAACTTGTAGATTCCGGCGGTGGTGGCCAGAATTTGGCAACTCGGGTGAGTGGGAATGTTTGTTATTTACAAAATTTTATATATTAGGGTGTTTAGTAATTAGTAAACCAAGGGTTTTTTTTTTTTTTTTTTTTTGTTAATTTTAAATTATACCTTGTAATAATCATCAAACTCTACTTACCATAATATTTCAAAAATACTACCAAAATACTAAACAAACACAATATTTTTATGAAATTTCTTGCATCAATACATTTACACGCCATTAGATTTAACTTTTGGGTGGTTGAATTACTTTGGTGATCTTAAAAGTTTTTAATCTTAGTATTTCAAAATTAATTTTATATAATAATCTAAGATTTCATATAATTCCTTATTTAATATGAATTTTAGGTGCATTAATTACAAGTCTTAACGAATTGAAGCGAGTAGAGTGATGTTTTTTACTTTTGAAAGGAAAAGTGGAGACTTCCACATGAGGAAAAGAGTCAAAAAAAAAAGAAGCAAATACGGTAGATCAAAGAATTCACTTTTCTTGGCAAAGGTATCAATGTGGGGACAACTAATAACCCACAATTTTACCAGGTTTTCTATGAATCTAATAGCGAAATTCAGAATTAGTTGCAGGTAGTCAATTCTCAAAGATTGCAGGTACAAAATTACATAGCCAACAAATTATTAGTAGTCTTCATAGTACATGTAAAACTACAAAGGCCAACGAAAAGTGAATACTGTAAAAGAGAACAAAAGTTACAAACACAATACTGCTAACCCAAAAAAACAAGTACGATTCGATGTCTTATAAAAGAAAAGACAAGCCACACTTATCACTCAAAGCAGCTTAACCTCAGATAAAGTACGATTCGGTCTTTTCCTATAAAAGAAAACACAAGACAACAACTTCATCACTCACCCAGTAACATCTTCCTTTGCTTCTATTCTGGTATTCCATATACTCTCGCGTTTCCTTTTGTAGTTCATGAATATGGAGGTATTAATTTTCTCAAAGCCATTATCTGAAACAGCATTGCTAAAAGGCTGTGCATCCCCATCGATAAACTTGGCCAACTCCCTCATTTTTTGGGCAGCAATCGCGTCCAAAATTTGATTGTTGAGGATATGGAAGAGCAAGGGGTTCTGTGGAATCTATGTTTTACGTGAAAGATAATGGGAAACAACCTGTTTTTCAAGGCCAGTGGGTTGATTTTGTGAGAGGAAGCAGCTTCGAGTTGGCGGTGAAGTGATGTTCTACATGGTCGTTGATGCCAATGGAAAACTCACCTACAAGATGAAACCTTTCTGTAATTTTATGGGGTACTGAGATTTGTTGCATGTCCAGTGTTAAAATGGTTTCCTTTTTATCTGGTGATAAGTCTGTTCTATATTTTCATTGGTACAGTTCTGTTTGTTATATATTAAAAGAGGAATATTATACAAACATCAT